TATCTCTGGTGTATCCCCCTCACCCTTCCCCTGTACCTCTGGCCTGTACCCCAGCCCTTATATACATAAGTAAATTATTTTTAAAAATCTAAAAACAAATGCAGCCAGGAAGTGTTCATTGTTTTTCTCCTTTAAAACAGGCTAAAGAACTTTGGGCAAAGTCATAAAGCAATTGTTTCAGTTAAGCATTTAATACATCAAGCAAACAACTGTTGTAGAAGTCATCCAGGCCACAAGAACTAAAGGTTATGGTACTTTTAGCAGGAGGATAGAGTGTTCCCCTTTTAGCTTTTTTAGAGAATCATTAGCCAATTGTGTATACCTGAAAGTAGTGTAAGCTTTAACATTAATCAACCCTTCTTTAACCATTTAACTCACCTTCCTCTCTTTCCAAAAATTTTTCTGACTTTGTCCTTTGGTGAGGACATATTTTAGTTTTTTTTTTTTTTAACCTGAATGTGTATACCCAAACTGTATTGCTTTGATCCCAAATAAGCACATCTTGCCTTTCTAATGGTCTCCTGACCATTTAGCCGAAGGTAGATGACCAAAATATATTTTTCCTGTACATGTGACCTTTGTTCCTGGTTTGCAGCTCCCCAAGGCCCTAGAAGTTCCTAAGTGACAAGCACATAAAGGCCCTTTTTGTTTTGTTAATGGTAACTTCTGGAACTCTCTTGATGATGGGGGCAGGTTTCTAGTGGAGTGGACCCTGTGATTGGAAGGTTGGAATTTTTAGTCCCCACCCTCTCACGTCTCCAGGGAGGGGAGAGGAGCTGGAGATAGAGACTGATCATCAATGACCAATGAGTTAATCAGTTGTGCCTATGCAATGAAACTACCATAAGGACCAAAAGAGAGGGGGTTCATAGAACTTTCGGATTGGGGATCCTTGGGTCACTATGCCAGATGCCAATCTCCATGAGAATAGAGCTTGTGTGGGGACCTTGTTCTCTCTCTTCAGCTGTCTGATGATCTGTATCTTTTACTATCCTTTGTAATAAACCAGTAAAATGAGTAAAATGTTAGAAAGTAAAATGTTTGAGTTCTGTGAGCCACTCTCGCAAATCACTCAAACCTAGGAGGGGGTCCTGTGAATCTCTGATGTATAAAGTTAGTCAGTCAGAATCACAGGCAACAGCTGAGGTTACATTGACATCTGACGTGGGTCAGCTGCGGGTATAGTCTTATAGGACTCAACCCTTAACCTGTGCAATCTGGGTAGTGTTGGAACTGAACTGAGTTGAGTTAAAGTGTAGATAACTAGTCTGGAAAACTGTTTCCTGTGTGTGGGAACATTCCCTGACACACACATAAATTGAAACAGGGCACCCAATTCGGAACTTCACGCCAAGTGACTGCAAGCACTCTGGGAGTTACAAGAGCAGTCACTGGCAGACTGAAAATAAAATGAGAACTGCAGTCCCATGACCACAAGAAAAAGAATAACGTTAACCACACAAGTGAACTTGGACTCCCAGAGGACCACAGAGAGGCTAACATCCTGCTTTCAGCACAGCGAGCCCAAGAAGCTAGTCATACCATACCCGACATCTGACCTACAGGAACTGCGATAGTGTTATTTTAAGCCACCAAGTTTGAGGTAATTGTTTTACAACAAAAACTAGCACACCAAGGAAATGCACATCACTGTTGAATTACAAGGCAGGTGCAGAACCTCTGTGTTGCGGTGGTAGGTGTGCACCTTATGGGTCAAGGAGCATAGTTTACATTGAGTAGAACACTCAGAACAGTACACAGCAACCCTGCATCAGTCCATTGCAGCCTTGTTCCAGCATCTGCGCTACCTCGTCCAACACTTTTTTCACTTAGTGGAAATGAAAGTTCCATACCAGCTCAACATTTGGAGTGTTTGGTGTATTTAGGGTCTACTTAACTACACACTGACCCTGCACAGTTCATCTACAGCTCTCAATTCGACCTCTTATTGCACCTAAACACGTTTGGCTCTAGTTTTTGCTTCTTTTCCAAGTTGCTGTCAACACATCCATGAATATGGCTTTGAGCATACAAACAGCCATGAGCTCCAGAGGGAGGAAACCCTGAGGGACCTTCCCTTTCATGCTTGTCTTCATTATGAGTGAAGCCAGGACATTTAGCTTTGGAGAGTTCAAACAGTTTAAGGTCAGTTACAGTTCTTTTCAATCAAGTCACTCTGTTGGAGAGAACAACATGCCTGGTGGTCATTTTGAGAAATGCCGGATCACTTGTTTCCTCAGAAGGTAGCTTGATAATGGAAAAGAGAATATGACAAAACCCAAGAGTCTTCAGGCAAGCCTAGAATAATTACCCTAGAATATAAGCCTGACAAAAAAGAGGCAAGAAATGTAGTTAAAATTAGCTTAGCCCCAAAATAAGCTATTGAAAATTAGTTAAAATGCCATGAAGGCCTTTTCCTGGCAGCACAATGGGTTCAACCACAGCATTATCAATCTATCTGCAGCCACTGCAGCATGAGTGTGATCCCTGGCCAGGGAGCTGACCCACATGGGCAGCTCCCTGACCTGCCCTCTGCTCCCCTCAGCAATGTTTCAGTACATCTGCCTGATCTCCTCACTCTGTCTCTGGTGAATCTTCTCACCCTCCCCTCACCCCCCACTGCCAAAATCTGGCCTGTATCCCAGTTTTGTGTGCATACATGAATCTTTTTAAAAAAATGTCATGGTGAAGGTGAGCAAACCTGAAACAAGTCCACAAACAATGGTTAGCCCAATTCTGCCCCCCCACCCCCTTCCTCTTCACTTCTAGCCAATTATTTCCAAGGTCTTTTTTGTCTCTCCCCCTCCCTCAAAGCCACATTTTATTAATGAGCCAAACAGAAACATACCAAGAAAAAGTCCACAAAGCATGACATTTTCAGTGTGACAGTTGCTACTGCTCTTGATACAGCAAAATACAGGCCCAGCATGGTGCTTCTCCAGTGTTTGCTTTTGATAAAATATGTATACAAATGATATGAAACAACATTGAAGTGTATTTGACAACCTGCTTTATGTAAAATACAAGACTGGGACCCAATGCTCAAGTGTGAATATGTAAGTAGAAAAGGCCTTGGAAGACCAGTATTTCTCAGAAAAGTGGGTTTATGTACCTATTTTTTAACCACACATTTTCTTCCTTTTTTTTTTCTAGTTAGAAAGCTGGGTTTAAATGAACCAGAATAGGGGCCTCCCTGGTGGCACAAAGAGTTAAAGCACAGCCACTACAGCACGAGTTGGATCTCCAGGGAGGGGGGTGACCCACATGGTGCAGCAGACCTCTCCTGCCTCATCGCTGCTCCCCTCAGCAGTGTGTTTCAGTCAATCTGCCTGTTCTGCTCCCCACTCTGTCTCTGGTGAATCCTCTCACTCCCTACACCTCTGGCCTATACCCCAGTTCCTGTATGCATAAATATATCAATCTTTGGGGGTGAAAATGAGTTTATATAATCTGGGGGACACTTTTCAAAACTTATCCAAAATCAACCTCTTAGAATTAGTGAATTAGAAAACTAGTGTGCTACGGAAAAAAATGTGGGAGTAAATCTAAAGGAAGGTGTGGGACCCAGGAAACAAGAGCCCCAAGACAGGACTGTTAAAGAAAACCCCAGGGATTGCCACTGCACCAATCCCAGATAACAACTAAGAGAGGATGTATGGGGAGCAAAGGGTAATTTATAATTCCAGGACAACTCTGAGAAAGGAAACTCAATCACATCACCAAATTGATGCTGTGGGTAGTACTGTTTCTAGCAGTGTCCCAGCTAGAAGTGGACCACACACAGAGACAAAGCAGTGACCCAAAGCCAGCAGGAAGAGATGCTGTAAGAACAGGAGAAGAAGGGTAGGTGGAACTGAAAGGGGTCATGTGAGTCCTGCCAGCGTTGGCCACCTTGAGGGGCTGAGACTTCCAGCTGAGGAACACTTTGCCTGTGGAGGACCTGAAAGGAGGGTGCCAAGGGACTATGTAGCCTGACTTCATTCCTGCCTCCTCTCCCTTCCATATCTTGTTGCAGATTCCTACTGTCTAAGCCCAACAGAAGTCTGCTGATGTTAGTCCATAGGTAGAAAAGTAGGGTGGAGGGAGCAGAAACTTGGAGGGGAAAATGGAAGACTCCTGGTATACTCACACGTCTAATGAACTCAACCAAAATTCACAAAAACATAGTGGGGGAATGTGTGGGAGATGTAGAGGGAATGCAGAGTAAGACAGCCTAGGGTGGGAAGTCAGTAATAGCGACAGTTCAAAATATAGCAGAGTTTATCTTAGAAATACGGAGATAAAGTACAAGCCCCTAAAAAGAGCTCAATGAGGATGAAAGTCTGAGAACATTATGAGCTGTGTAGTATTTTTGTATTATATCCATGGAGCTAGGCTAGGGAGTGAGGAGAGAAAGAACAATAATTTTTTATTTAATTTTCCCTTGTATTGCTTTAGTATGAATAGCTGCTATTTATAACACACCTTTTCTATCTTAAAAAGCAAATGAAACCAATCAACTAGACTTTGTTGCTAAAGGGAATTTATCATCCCTCAGGTGTGTTGGGGACGAAGAGTTACATCTACTGATGTGCATCCGATGAAGTACAGGGCGGGATCAGTGACTTGACCACTAATCAGCAGACACACAGTTCAGTGGCGCCTCGGGTACGAGTCAGGACTTCACTGGGGACCACAGGGCGGGAGACGCTTCTAGCCCCTCCTTACTTCAGAGGGAGTAAGGAGATGTGATAGAAAGGTATATGCCAGCATCTCTGAATATTTTATAGACCTCTGTACTAAAGTCCAAGGATGAGAGGCCATGTGGGGTCCACACCAGCAAAGAACGGCCTTATCACATCGCCATAGTAGAACAGCATGTGTTGTAATCCAAAGTCGGTAATTGATTAAAAAGGGAGAGAAAACACTGTCCCACAACCACCCAGATGCCATTACACAATTATTAGCCTGATTCCTGAGATGGTAAAAATTTCCCTTTTAAACTTAAACAAACAAAACAATCATGAGCAAACTGAGTGTATTTAATACATTATTTGTAAGAATACAAAGAATGCAATAAAGACTAGACATTTATGAAAAAGAAGTTTCCCTATTTTCCTGTCATTTCTATCTTCTTCAGAGCAATAAATAATAACTTCTACTCTCACAGACGGGGTACTCCATTGTTGGACAGTAACATCTTTGTGTTTCAAGTCATTATCCCTTCCAATACGCACTGCACTGCTTCACAGTAAAACTGCACTCTACTAAAGTTAGAAGAGTCCAGAGAAATTAGGGCAAACAGCATTCAAAATCATGTGAATGAAAGCTAAAGGCCCAAGGATTTTAGCAATATTATCTACTGGCACAACCTTCTATTTATTCATATTATTAAAACACAGTAGTGGAAATAAAGGCTAATTTAATGAAAAAGGAACTGAGGAATAAAGTCATTAAATATAACTAAATACATCTTAAATATAAATACCATGTATTTCCTGATTAATATCAGGTAAATACCTAATTTATCCCAAATTCTGGTCTCAGAGAAAAAGGTCAGAGACAATTACAAAGAAGGTGCTTCCTATTATCAGGTCCATTTTTAAAACAGTGAGATCCTTTGAGAAAATCCCTTTACTCTTTCTTTTTATCAGAGATTTCTGTTGCTCCTTTTGTTGGTAATCCATTTACGTCAGCACCCTAAAAAAAAGAGAAAAAATTACATACTACAACAAAAAGACATTTATTGTAAAGGAACTTCTTTCTAAAACCAGATAACAAACTTCAGACTGAAAAAAAAAAAAACTGCCTCTAGGTATATTCAGAATGGTTAATTAGTGCAAATGAGCAGTTCAAGTTGAGCTTACCAAGCACTGATGCTAAAGACAACAAACTGCCCAAATATTAATTTTAAAAACTTGATTGTTTTAAAAAATGATACTTGTAATTAAATCTGTCACAGTTCTCAATCAGTAAAACTGGCTCATACTAGTATCTCTTCTCAGTCATTAGCTATACACTGTTACCAACCAGAACTTACTAGTTATTATTTTAGGCATAAAATAATAAGAACTAATGCATTAATGAGAGCCCTTCTTTAAAAGAAAACCAAAACCTCCATTTGGGGGGAAAAAAAGGAAACTTAAGACACTAATGAAGCCTCTGGCTCCAAAACCCAAAAACCCAGCATTTTGCCTTCATATGCCACCGCCTCACCAGCGCTTACTCAGGGCAGTGCAAAGCTCCTACCTTGTACTCTCCTTTGTCTTTGCTGGTATCGTTGGATTCTTGTAGAGCTTTTCCAGGCCACATGCGATTAACAAATGGAGAAATCAGTGGGTAGATGTACGGCTCCAGGAATTTTTTGTACACCCAGAGCAGAACTGGAATGACGATGCAAGGAATGCAGACCATTGTCTCAGGGTTGAGCCCCTTAACTATTGATATAAGTGAAGAAAAAAACAAATCAGTTCATCAAATATTAATGACTAATGAAATGTATGTGATTAAGATTTTCTGAAGGGCTATACTGAAAGAAAAACTTTAATCATACTATTAGCTAAAAGTAAACCTATTAAATAAAAAAACCTATCTGTAAGATAAAGGAATAACAGGTGATAGAAATGAAAATAGTGAGGTTGCCTACCTCCTACCTTCTCCAACCATAAATTTGATGGTAAAGGGCAAACACCAGCATTTGCTGGGTGCTAGGAGGTAAGTCCTTTGTATGTATCAACTCATTTAATACTCAAAAAAACCCAGTGAGATTAGATAATACCCTTTACAGATAATGAAAAGTTGGCATAAAAATGTAAGGAATTTGGTAACTGGCATCCACTCTAGTCACCTCCAGAGACTGACAATATGAATGAGCAAAACTTGTGCTAAGGGCAAGTCTTGTATATAGAGCTTGCTGGAAGATTCCAGGCTGCAAACTGGCTGGCCTTTTCCAGGAAAACAACTCTCCCTTGATGTATGTATTTTTCTCTTTAATGGCAATTAAGATGTGTTGTGCAACAAAGAAACTGAATTTATTTTATTGTTATAAGAAAACTGTTTCCAAAAACAACTTTAAATTTCCTTGAAGATTGTCATCTTAATCTTTCTGAAAATTAACAATTCCCTGAAAAAAGAACCAATACTACCATAATATATGCCTAAGTCAAAGATTTAAGATTAACTTTAATCCCTTTTAGAGTAGGCCTGAAAAACTAAGAAGCTTCAGAACATATATGGCTATTAATTCGAGATGTTAAAATATTTATATCCAAAATAATGCAAATTGATACATGCTGGCAGGAGTCGGCACCTTTACCTATTTACAATAGGTAAATTAATACTGACTTACAAAGAGTGCTGTCCAATCCAAAACTCCCTACTGTGTGTCTTGAGATAATTTACAAAAGCAATGAACAAGTAGGGCCTCCCTGGTGGTGCAGGGGTTAAAATGTGAGCACTATCCAGCTAGACACCTAGGTGTGCGTTTGATCCTGGTCACAGAGCTAACCTAGCACACCTTTCTGCCCACTGTGCGCGCCCTAGTGTATTTCAGTAAACTGCCTGCTCTGCTGCCCGCTCAGCCAGGCAAATCCCCTTACCGGCCTACCTCTGGTGTACACCCTAGTTCTACACAAAAATAAATACTTTTTAAAAAGCTATAATCAAGTAAAATTGCAAATGGGTAGAACTGTAAAGGTACATTAAGGAATGACTTCATGACTGGATTCTTTAAAACAATCCCCTAGTCAAAATAACAGTTTAGAATTTACCAAAATATTCTGTTCCCAAAACTTACAGAACATACACTCTGGTTAGAAACAAGCAAGGGGTGTTTTTCAGTATTTTTTAAGGAATCATTTCTCTCTGACCACAGACACTGAGAACCGAATTGGAAGAGCTGTTCTTACAAGTACCCGTTCTACCAACTTGACTGGCTGATACCGGCCTTCATTCCCTCAAGTGTAAGGTGAAGACAAACAGTAAGTATCTCACAGGAATGCAGTGTGAAATAAATAAATTAATAGGAATGCAAATCCCAGAACAGTGTCTGCATATATTATGGGCTATTTATTATCAGATGAAGACTTAAAAAAAAAAAAACCCATTAAAAAAAAAGGTCCAATAGTTGTGACCTGTCCAAAGTTCACACATACAATAACTAGTAGTTACTTACAAGGGGCTAAACACGAATTTCCAGTTCTGGTTTCCTACCTCGATGCCCCAAATCACAAGAATCATGTATTATTCTCCTAGTCAACCTTCAAAACCAGCTAAACCCAACAAAACAACTGGCCAGCAGCACTAGCTAAGTTGATGACTGACAATTCCTCCATCTAAATTATTCTTTTTTACCGTTGCAATGCGTGTTGTATGTCCGAACACATTACTATTAAATAACTAATCTCATAATTACGGCTTTTATAAAACTTTACTGTCTTCAAAATGAAGCTACTGTACTTATTTTACATTTTATCTCTTAAATCTCGAGCTTCTCAAATAATGTATTTTATTTCATACATGTGAAAACTGTGACTGCTAACGGAGGCCTAGGTGGCTATGATAAACGGACCAAGTTATCAATTCACTTCATCTCTGAACCAACTCTCGCATATTACAAGACAGCGAGTAAAATGGATTAAACCTATCGGAGAGGCATTTTCCCATTCAACTTCGTTCAAGGCAAAGGAATGAAAAACTGAGGCTCCATCAAAAACAGGGCAGGTAGGCCGGGGAATGGCCAGTTCCGCCGATCCTTTTCCAGGAGACAAAAGGAGAGCGGCGGCAGGTTCAGCGAAAGACAACGACCAAGAGAGCAGAGAGCAAGAGATGATGAAAAGGCGAGGGAGGACGACGCACAGAAAGCAAACGGATCTAAAGGAAAGGCAGGTAAGGGGGGCAGACGGTGAGTGCCGGTGCAGGTGGAGGTAATGGGCGCGGGACAGCGGCCGCGCCGGCGGCAGGGGCGCGCGTTCCCAGCCCGAAGCCGAGTAGACGGTGAGCGCAGGAGGGGTCCCGGGCGCCCGGGGCGAGAGCCCCGCACCGTTCTGGCGTCTGCGAAGCTTGTAAACGGCGCCGCGACCACAGCCCACCCAGACCCCACGCCCAGCCCAGCTCACCGGCGACCACCGAGCCCAGGTGAAATGTCCGCACTTCCGGAGGGAGGGGTGTGCGGAGGCCAGGCCAATGGAGACCGCAAAAACGGGCCGACAAAGGTGCGCAAGCGTCAGCCCGAGGACGCACAGGACGTAACGGTGACGCCGGGGCGGGAAGGGGCGCGGCTTCCGGCCGCTCACAGCCAGTGGCCACACGAAACCGGATTTTTCAGACGCTGAGGCTCATGGGTCCGCTTCCGTGCTCCGGATACAAGTCACTCGACAAAGAACGCCAGAGTGCCCACCGCTCCTAGCAAGGTGTCCGCCTGCGCTGGGCCGTTTTCGGACCCAGCTTTGGCTGAAAGGCCTTCACTCTTGCTAATGTGAAGGATCTCAAAATACACTAAGGCTCACAGCACTGCTATTTGTAAACCAAAAGGCCAGTATTGAATAGATTTTCCCAGTGAGTTATTAAAAAAAGGGCACGTGAGCTCCCCCACCCCCCCACTCCCCGGGCAGCTTAGCGGGTCAAAGCACAGCACTATGAAGCTATGGCAGCCACTGCATCGCAAGTTAAGATCCCTGCCAAGGGGGTGACCCAAATGTCATGGCAGACCTCTACTGACCGCCCGCTGCTTTCCTCAGCAGTGTATTTCAGTCTGCTCCCACTGTCTCTGGTGAGCCCTCCTGCCCCACCCCCACCCCGCTGGCCTATATCCTTATTTTGTATGTATAATCTAAAAAAAAAAAAGTGCCATATAAGGATGAGCACTGTCAGAAGGGATCTAAGAACCCACTTAGTCCACTGATTCCACATGTATTATCTACAAGTCAATCTATCATACAAGTGAATATTGCCAGAGGGTTCATGAGTTTATTAATCACTGACCAGCTTAGCACAAATGGTCAAAAATTGATGCAGGTGATAGTTGCATGACTGAAAACTCTAAAACCAAACAGTAAATAGGTGAATTGTGGTGTTAGCATCATAAAACATTTCATAAATTTCCTCCAAGTTCTAGTATTTCATCTCACATAGAGTCAAAACAGTATGTTCAATAACCAAAATAAAGGCACAGGACAAATCTACTCAGAAAATGCATTTGATCCAATTTCAAAGACACTTGAACTATAGTAATGAAAAGACAACCAACATTCTGCTTTTATTTTTATTCCTTTTATTTTAAGTTGAACTTACTCCCTGGCCATAAGTTTTTGTTTCTTCAGTTTCTTCTGAGATATCTGGGGAAAGAAAAAAGACATTAATTAGGTCTCCTGGAGAAACACACACAACATAAAGGAGTATGGTGCAGGGCAGCTGTAACTTCAACATATCTTTTGACTGTATGGGAAGAGAGGAAATCAAACGAGCAGGAGAATCTGCTCAGACTGGGAGGTAGCTGACTAGAACTAAGGGGCAGCAACAAAACTGGAGGGCATTTAAGTGATGAAGCAAGGTGTGTGACTTGGAGAAACGGCCGATTTTTAGATAGTATCTGGAAGTGGCTATGGACATCTAGGCGGGTCAGTAGATAATTATGTAGTTTTTATATACTAAATTATTAGTCAAACAAGCCAAAATGTGTCCAAGAGGTTGCTCAGAATAGTTTCTTTTCATGGTTATTCCAAAGGTGTCCTAAGTTAATCATCACAGCAACCATAAATCTAGTATCACAACCAAGCAACAATATTAAGTAACTTACTTTTTTCTTCTGTGCAACCTCCTCTTCTGGTTTAGGGACAATCTGCTCTTTTTCAGTAAGGATCATCTCGATGTGGCAAGGGGAACTCATGTATGGGTTAATCCGACCATGAGCTCTGTAAGTTCTGCGACGCATCTTAGGGGCTTTGTTCACCTGGATGTGCTCAATGACCAGAGAATCTACATCTAGACCCTAAAAAGAGGGGAGAACAAAAATCAAGTAATACCTTTGTCTTAATACCACAAACCACATCATCTTAAATAGCACACTATCTGTTCATGCAGTTGTTTGCTTTCACATTTATTCTAAAAGTCTTCCCTAAAAGTCTAAGCACCCACAGAAAGTGCTGAACACAGACCTTCCTTTATAAGTAGCCCCATATTAGTTTAAAAGGGTATAGTTAGGAGAGAGATAGCAGTATCAACTTCTGTCAGATCTGACCCAAATTTGCAAATACAAAAGGCTATGAAAATAATGTAAAAGAAACTAAGTTGGAAGCCTGCTTTAAGTAATAAAAAAAAAATCATTAACCTGACATACCTGTACTCCATTAATACAAGCAACAAACTTCAACTATTTACTCCTTTGCAGTGTTATCTTTTTACATTTACACAACGTTCTGGGGGCCTCTCTGGTGTGCCAGGGGTTAAAGCATAGCACTATGCAGCTATCTGTAGTAGCTACTCTAGCACCAGTTCAATCAATAGCCAGGGAACTGACCCACTTGGTGCAGACTTCTGTCTCCCATGCTACATCTCTCAGCAGTGTATTTTGGTCAACCTGCCTGTTCTGTCTCTGGTGAATTCCCCCACCCTACACCTCTGGCCTATAGCTTAGTTATTATATGCATATTTTTTTGGGGGGTGGGGGGGGGAAATCTGTATTCTGAAGGGGTTCACAAACCACACTTCCAAAAAAGTTCATGGCACAAGTTCACAAACCACCGTTGCTAAAGGTAGAGGAGAATAAAATGAATTATAGGAAAAAAGTTTCTTCTTAGCTTGCAAAGAGCAGACCACGCTTCTGAAAATGTTCAGACAATATTTGGTCTGCTGGGAATTAGTTACAAAAAAAATTTAATGGGAAATATGTTACTAAGGAAGACAATAATAAAAAAATTTAACCAGGACAATAACCACCCAAATTAAATCACCATCCAATTTCATACATGTAAGAATGTTGTGTCTGGGGTACCTTAAGTTCAGCATTACTCTCTGCATTTTTAAGCATATGCAGTAAGAACTCAGCACTCTTTTTGGGCCAACGACCCTGTGTCCAACCCCACTGTTTGGCCTGAAAGAAAACAAAGTGCAGTAAGTAATTTTCCTGGATTAAAATCATTGTTACAATTCAGTGAATCAGTTTTATCTAATGTCAAGGCTGCTCAGAGGATTTTTTTTTTCATGGTTAATCCAAAGGTGTCCTAAGATTGTCATCACAGCAACCAGAAAGATTTAAGGCAGATCTTAAGCCATCTTCATTCCAGCCAATCACTTTCTATTAGTTTCAAGAGACAAGAATTCTCACCTGGGCACACCTTCCAACACCCCCGTTGTAACGGCGGAATGGCACACACTGCTTCTGTAGAGTGACATCCTTTAGATACTTGGTGGCTTTCCGGATATGCATACCCTTGATGGCCTGGGCAGTTTCCCGAGTGTTCTAATCAATAATGCAAACTTGTTAGTCAACCCAATCAGAGAATCCTAATTTTTCAACTAAACATTCCTTCCATTCTTAGGAGATAAGAACAAATGTTAAGGCCATAAAGACTTGGTTTTGAGATAGGGAAAAAAACCCAAATTGGACTATTCACTATTTTTATTTCAGTATCTTAATTACATGCACTTCAAACTAGTTACATGTAGATTCTCTAATTTCTGGTCGTTGTACCCAATTTCAAAATCCCTGAATTAAAGTGCTCATTTCCTAACCACCAACATTTAAAAGTTGGCTACTCAGAATTTTTGTGGTAAACCCAAATGTGTCCTAAGAAAGGCATCCTTGCAAGAGCTACTCTTCAAAAAAGCATGGTAAAATAATTAACTAAACAAAAAAATCTACTATGACTCACACACCTTGAAATGAACACGGAGATTCGAGCCTCTTGACTTGCATGCTGTAAAAAAAAAGTAAAAAATAAAGGGAGGTTAGTTTTTGCATCTTTTAGTTTCCTACCCCCAAATAGAGAATATTTTATGCATCTCTTGTTCACTTACACTTTGTAGGGTTTTCTGGGTCAAGTGAGTAGCGAACCATTTCTAGAGATGACTGCAGAGAGAAGAGTATTTCAGTCACTTTACAGTAACCTAGCTTGAACCCGGTCAAGGCTAACACAAGCTGCTCAGAGTAGCGTTGTTTTCATGATTAATCTAAAGGTGTCCTAAGTAACGTCATCATCGCAGCCACGCGCGTCCCCGACTTTCCCCCTCTCTGCACCTATAGTCACGGTGACACTCGTGACCAGACATTTCTCAGTGCTAGTCCTCTTAGCATGGCGAAGACTCAGCCTGTCTCAACCCAACTCTGGGTCCTTCCGACGTAAAATGACCAGACACACTGTCACAGCCGAAGTGAACCATAACTGCAGAGAACCCCGTGTACAAATGACGCTTTCTTTCCGCGCAATGCTGGACTATTGCCCACGTTAATGGCCATTAGGTTAACCCTCACGATTAAAAGAGAAAAGCCTCGACCGGACTTTATCCCCCCGAACTTCCACCAACGCGCCGCGAACTCGACTACAACTCACCGAGAGACACTGGAACCTTTGGAGTCGAGGCGGCCGGGCCACCGGTCGCCAGAATCCCGGCGGACCACATTCCCACCCATCAGCATGCCTCTGCGGGCCTCAGAACCCAACGGCCCGAGCGCACCAAGTGGAGCACTCTGATACGTTCCCACACAGAGGGACACCGCCATCAGCGACTAATTGGTAGCCTGGGAAGTCCTCCTTACAGGGGCCTCGAAAATGTTGCCCCCGAGGTCAGGATGGCGGCGATAGTAGAAGGATTGAGCACTAGCAGAAACCCCGGCAACATACTCACCTAAGGCCGCATACGGGAAGAGGAAGAGCGGTGGCTACTGGGAGAAGTCTTGAGAACTCGACCTCTCGCGAGGTTTCCGGCGGAAGAAACGAGATCAGACGGAGGGAGGAAAAAGGGAGTATGGATTATGGTGTAGATCTGGAAAAAGAGTTGCCGCTTTAGAGAGCGTCTCAAAATTCTCCTTTTTATTCTATCCCGAAATAAAGTTACAGATTTGAAGTATCAACCCATTGAAGTCGGCTTTATAGCTCTAGGAGACGGCCGTTTCTATTACTACATAAAAGCAAAACATATATCCACCAATAGTCATGAGATTTGATTATATGATTAAGAGACCTCTGAAAGTGGTTTTTAAAATCACAAGAAGCTGCAAAGGGAGGAAGAACAGTGGTCGATGGTGGTGGAATATGAGTGAGTTGATTACGGTGGTAATACCTGATGG